ATAAGCTTAGAGTCATGTCTACAAATGCCCGCAGTTTAGGGAATAAGATCCATGAACTTGTGGCAATAATGGCAACTGATAGTGTAGATTTAGTCGCTGTTACTGAGACATGGTATAATGAGAAAAATGACTGGGACATAACAATACCAGGGTACTCTTTATATAGGAAAGATAGGGAAGGCAAGAAAGGGGAGGGGTGGCCTTGAATGTGAAGGATAGCATAAAATCTAGCCTAATAAAAGTTAGTGAGGCAAACATAGAGTCCGCTTGGGCTACGTTAGAATTTGGTAATCACACAGTAACTCGTGTAGGTGTGATTTATAGGCCCCCAGGACAAATTGAAGAGTTAGATAATCTACTAGTTGAGGAAATAGCTAAAATGACAATGAAGGGGAAGTTATCATCATGGGTGACTTTAATCTTCCTGATGTAAATTGGAAAACAAAATTAGCTACTTGTGCCAGGAGCACACATATTCTAAACTCCCTATTGGGATTGTCTCTAAAACAAGTTGTTGAGGAGCCAACTCGTGAAGAGGCCATACTAGATTTAGTGTTAACAAATGGAGATTTGGTATCAGATGTTACTGTAGGTGAAAGTTTAGGATCCAGTGATCATCAGTCAGTGTGGTTTAATATAAGAACAGTGACTGAGTCACACCACATAAAAACAAAAGTTTTAGACTTTAGAAAAACAGACTTTTCTAAAATTAGAATATGGGTAGAGGAGTCATTATCAGACTGGAGCAATTTAAATGGAGTCCAAGAGAAATGGGATTATTTAAAAGCTGCACTATTGAAGGCAACAGAAAATTGCATTAGGCTTGTCAGTAAAAGCAAAAATTCAAGAAACCACTGTGGTACTCCGCAGATGTGGCCAAAATAGTTAAAAAACAAAAAGTTAGCATTTAGGAATTATAAAAAAACCCAGAGTGAGGAAGACAAAATTATCTATAAGATTAGGCAGAAAGAGGCTAAGCAAGTTATAAGAGCTTCCAAATCACACACAGAAGAGAAAATAGCACAGTCAGTAAAAAAGGGGGATAAAACATTTTTTAGATACATAAATGAGAAAAGAAAAGTAAAACAAGGATTGGTTAGATTAAAAACAAAAGAAGGAAGGTATGTAGAAGAGGATAAAGGTCTAGCTGACTGCCTCAATGAATATTTTTGTTCTGTATTTACAGATGAAAATGAAGGAAAAGGACCTCAGTTGAGAAAAAGGATAAATTAGTCATTTATTACACGTGAGTTTACAGAGGAAGAGGTTCTATTTCAACTTTCAAAAGCAAAGACAAATAAGTCAATGGGACCTGATGGAATACACCCAAAGCTATTAAAAGAGCTTAGTGGTGTACTAGCAAAACCATTAACAAATTTATTTAACCAATCATTGTTAACAGGAGTAGTCCCAGAAGATTGGAAGTTAGCGAATGTTTGCCCATTTACAAGAAAGGTAATAGGGAGGAGTCAGGCAACTATAGACCAGTACTTCAGTAGTGGGGAAAGTGATGGAAACCATGTTAAAGGATAGGATTGTTGAACATCTAAAAACACATAGATTTCAAGATCAGAGACAACATGGATATACTTCAGGGAGATCATGCCAAACTAATCCTATTGATTTTTTTTGATTGGGTAACTAAAATAATAGATCAGGGTGGTGCAGTAGACATTGCTTACCTAGATTTCAGTAAGGCTTTTGACACTGTTGCACATAGAAGGCTTATCAATAAACTGCAATCTTTAAGTTTGGATTCCAATATTGTTGAATGGGTAAGGCAGTGGCTGAGTGACAGGCAACAGAGGGTTGTAGTTAATGGAATATATATTCGAAGCTTGGACTTGTCACCAGTGGGGTACCTCAGGGATCTGTACTTGGACCCATTCTCTTTAATATTTTTATTAGTGATATTGCAGAAGGTCTTGATGGTAAGGTATGTCTTTTGCTGATGATACTAAGATATGTAACAGGGTTGATGTTCCAGGAAGGATAAGCCAAATGACAAATGATTTAGGTAAACTAGAAAAATGGTCAGAATTGTGGCAACTGACATTTAATGTGGATAAGTGCAAGATAATGCATCTTGGACGTAAAAACCCAAGGGCAGAGTACAGAATATTTGATAAAGTTCTAACCTCAACATATGAGGAAAGGGATTTAGGGGTGATTATTTCTGATGACTTAAAGGTAGGCAGACAATGTAATAGAGCAGCAGAAATGCTAGCAGAATGCTTGGTTGTATAGGGAGAGGTATTAGCAGTAGAAAGAGGGAAGTGCTCATGCCATTGTACAGAACACTGGTGAGACCTCACTTGGAGTATTGTATGCAGTACTGGAGACTGTATCTTCAGAAGGATATTGATACTTTAGAGAGAGTTCAAAGAAAGGCTACTAAACTGGTTCATGGATTGCAGGATAAAACTTACCAGGAAAGGTTAAAGGATCTTATCATGTATAGCTTGGAGGAAAGACGAGACAGGGGGGATATGATAGAAACATTTAAATACATAAAAGGAATCAACACAATAAAGGAGGAGACCATATTTAAAAGAAGAAAAGCTACCACAACAAGAGGACATAGTCTTAAATTAGAGGGACAAAGGTTTAAAAATAATATCAGGAAGTATTACTTTACTGAAAGGGTAGTGGATGCATGGAATAGCCTTCCAGCTGAAGTGGTAGAGGTTAACACAGTAAAGGAGTTTAAGCGTGCGTGGGATAGGCATAAGGCTATCCTAACTATAAGATAAGACTAGGGACTAATGAAAGTATTTAGAAAATTGGGCAGACTAGATGGGCCGAATGGTTCTTATCTGCCGTCACATTCTATGTTTCTATGTTTCTATGTTTCTATTAGTATTTATATATTTTTTCTAGATATCTAATAGTAAAGAGTTAAATTTGTTTTGGGTAGGAACTGGAATGCAGCTTTTAGCTGGCTTCTATCACATCTACATGTGTCACTTCATAGATACTGTTGCTAATTTGAAGTAGTTTATTTGTCTACTACCTCTTCACTGGATTTTTAGCAACTTAGTATTGAAGTGAATCATTTAGTTATGTGCACTTTAGGCTGATTCCCTTCATTCCTAATCTATAGCAGTTTGGTGTATTATAGAATATTATATATGGGATTTTTAACGTTTTTTCAATAAATCTTTATTATTTTTTCCATACACGGTTAGTGGGCAAATATATTTCTATTGCTAAAAAGGGGGTACTAGTCTTGAGGGGATTTTTTTCCCGGTGTTTCAGGGATTCTTGCCCCTCATTCTTTTTGTATATTTGAAAAATAATAAAGTATACTAATTTTAAAGAAAAATCTATTTTATTTCCCCAAAACAACTTATTAGTGAAGCAATTAAAGTTTTCGAGTCATTAGTTGTGAAAGACTTGAGAAAAATATCAACACATTTTTTTTTTTTTAATTTTGTACAAACTAAAGCTCTTCAGGATTTGCAAAATGATCAGAATATTATAATTAAGCCAGTGGATAAGGGTGGAGGCATCGTCAAATTAAATACTACAGACAGTTAAACGATGCTTCCACATATACCAAACTAAATGCTCACTCTACAACTAACATTAAAAAGAAGTATGTCCAATAATTAGATAAAGGACGAATAAGTGGCTTTATGAATAAAAATTAGTATCATTATTTAAAGATTAAAGTAATATACAAGTATACCAGTCTTCTATATAATTCGAAAAATTTAAAAAAAGACCATAAAAATCCCCCCACAAGTGTCTGGGGTTGATTCTTTGTTAAACAGGTTGTCAGAATATATTGCCAGACAACTTCAGCCCCTAGTGCTATCACACCCTACATATCTCAGATATTCTGCACAACTTTTAAATATTCTTAATGATTTAGAATGGCAAGAGGATTATTACTTACTGACATGTCATTTATCAAGCCTCTACATAATTATCTCACATGATTTAGATTGTTGAGCAAAAGAATACTTTTTTAAAACAAAGCCAGAAATTCTCTGATAGTCAAGTGGATTTTATATTAGAGGGCCTGATTTTACAAAATGATTTTTTTTCTGGTTTGATTGCTCCTTTTTTCTTAAATTGATTGATATAGCTATGGGGACCAGATACAAGCCCAGCTACACCAATATTTTTATGTCCCATTAGAAGGAATCTTTCCTCTCAAAGTCTGGCGGTAGGGAGGTGGGTCTTATCCTCTATCGCAGATAAATTGATGGCATCTTTTTTACATGGAGAGGCACTAGGTCAAATCTCAAATTTTAAGTTATTTAAATGACAATCAGAGATGTATTGTTTTAACAAGTCAAATAAGTCAAATCCAAGTTCAGTTTTTAGATTTGGATATTTATATTAGCAACAACACAATCCATACTAAAACATTTTTTAAACAAGAAGACATTAATAACTACATTGACACCACAAATTGTCACTATGACCCATGGTTGTACAATGTACCAAAAAGTCAATTTTTAATTTTTTTTAATTGTAGTGATATCACACAATATGATGAATAAGCTCAGAGACATAAAGTATATTTTGAGTAAAAAAGATATGACTCGTCCAAATTGGATCATCAAATTCAAGAAGTAAGACAACTACAAATAAATGCACTATTAGAATATAAAAGTAAATAGATCAATAATACCATACAAGAGACAGCTTTAAAATTGGAATTTAATGGAGATTTGAAATAAACATTGGCTGGCCTCCAAGCAGAAAAAGCTCAGGGAACTCAGAATTAAAACACTCACGCAAGAAATACGGCGTTTGGAGACTGCCCACAAAACCAATAATACGATAGACCTCTACATACAGCTGACAGACAGACGCACGAAACTACAACAGCTCCTGAATGCCTCAGTTAAGAGGAAATTACTACTCCCAGACACTCCTTCTACACACAAGGGGGGAAATGTGGCCGCCTCCTAGCTAACGCACTCAAGAAAAAAAGACAAAACACATTCATATCCCATATAACACCATCAGGTACACTAACCGCCATGCTCCCAGATATCACGAAAGCCTTTCACGATTACTACTCAACGTTATATCACCTGTCGGACAAATCACCGCCCAAAGAAGTAATAGATAACTTCCTATTGTCCAGAATAAAGCGTACGATACCTACCGCAGACGCTAAATCCTTGGAAGCACCCATCACTTCAGATGAGTTTAGGGCAGCGGTAAGGCATTTACCAGTGGGCAAGAGTCCAGGACCAGATGGCTTCACAGCTAAATATTACAAGCTCTTCGCCTCCACACTGAGCGTACCCTTCACAACGGCATTCAATGCTTTAACAACACACACCACCCTGCCTGGCTCAGCCTTGGAAGCCCACATTACCCTAATCCCCAAACCCGGTAAAGATCCCCACGACTGTGGAAGCTACCGCCCCATATCCCTTATCAATATCGACCTAAAGATTTTTACGAAAATCTTAGCAAACAGGCTACGTCCTCTCCTTCAACTTCTCATACACTCAGACCAATCAGGATTCGTCCCAAACAGAGAGGCTAAACATAACACCAATAAAATACTTAACCTGATCCATTTTTCTCAACACACCCCCACGCAAAGCGTCATCTTCTCGGTCGATGCCGAAAAAGCATTTGACCGAGTGGATTGGGCTTTCCTCCTAGCCACACTGACAGCGTTGGGCCTCGGCCCAAATTGGATCCGGTGGATCCAATCCATATATTCAAACCCAACCGCTAAAATTCGAATTAATGGCCAACTTTCGCCACCTGTGCGAATATACAATGGAACAAGACAGGGGTGTCCCCTGTCCCCATTACTCTTCATACTAATCCTAGAACCGTTCCTACAAGGAGTAAGAGACAACCCTGACATACATGGATTCCGTATAAACAACCAAGAATATAAGGCTTCTGCTTTTGCAGATGACCTGTTATTCACGATAATGGACCCAACTACATCCATGGGCCCCTTAGTGGAAGAGTTAGAGCAATACCAAGTAGTGTCCAACTTTAAAGTGAACTTCACCAAAAGTGAAATCCTCCCTTTAAGAATAGACCCCCACAACGTAAACTCTCTTAAAGCTCGATTCCCTTTCAAGTGGACAAACAAAGCGATAAAATACTTAGGAGTACAACTCCCGAAAAACCTCTCCTCACTATACTCTCTTAACTATAAACCTCTCTTAGAAACAATCTCCCAAGATCTAGCACAATGGTCGAAACCCCACTTTGGATGGCTCTGTAGGGTGAACATCCTAAAGATGACCACTCTACCCAAAATACTTTACCTCTTACAAGTTTTACCAATAGCACTCCCAAAAGCCTTCTTCTCTACGATGAGACAGCTCTTCTCGGAATTCATTTGGGCGCACAAACACCCTCGACTCAGTTACACGACTCTGACTAAAAGGAAAAATAGAGGGGGCTTGGGTTTACCTGATATTGAAACCTACTATAAGGCAGTCATACTACATCGCATATACGAATGGACAGCACCGCACCCGCACAGACAATGGAGAACTATAGAAGAGACATTCCTCTCCACACACGCACACAATGTAGTCTGGCACCCCAAAGGGCGAATGCTACAGAAGCCACCCTTCTCCCAACACCCGACCATCACTCCCGCACTGAAGGTTTGGAACCAAATCAGGGCTTCCCAAGTACTATCCCCACACCCATCTCCGCGCTACCCGATAACAAACAACCCTCTCTTTCCCCCGGGCTGTCAAACCCAATTCCTACAACATAACACACAATCACAACAACTTACACTACAAGATGTGATACAAGAGGGAAACATTAAACCACTGACAGACCTCATAGTTGACTCCCGGATAACAACGATGCACACTTTCCAACACGCACAATTGACACACTTTCTTAAGGCCGACAATACCCTCCTAACGACACTCCGGCCACAGACAGAATTCGAAAATCTATGCCAAACGCAGGGGATCAAAAGCAAACACCTCTCAACTATGTACAAACTCCTCCAAAAAGACAACAATACTAGTTTCCCACCATTCACACAAACATGGGTGTCCGACCTGAACACCTCAATTCCTGACCCCGACTGGACGAAAATTCTAACCAAGGCTCACTCTACTACAACGAATAACACCATACAAGAAAGTAACTACAAAAAAATTACCAGATGGCATTATACACCAGACAAATTGAATAGAATATACTCAAACACCCGGAACCTTTGCTGGAGATGTAACCATACCCCAGCTACATCAGCACACATATGGTGGTCTTGCCCTATAATAAATGCTTTCTGGAAAAAAATCTCAGACCTGATTAAACACATCACAGACATCTCTCTACCCTTCCTCCCAGAATCATACCTGTTCTTGCTACCCCCAACCGACATCCCTAAGACATGACTCCACCTCATCAACCATCTACTGACGGCTGCAAACCTACTAATACCTATAAAATGGAAACAGACCCTAGCGCCCTCAGTTAGGGAATGGATACAAAAAGTGGAAGACACTAGGGTTATGGAAGAACTCACCTTCTCACTCACCCATAGATACTCACACTTCAAACAAACCTGGGAACCTTGGACCCAATTTCTAGACAGAAGCAACCAGGAGTAGGGAAAGGGACACAATCGAGAGCACTACACGGTAAGACCGAAAATTGACACTATACAAACTAGCTGCAGACTATAACCAAAACCTTACAACAAGGACGAACCTAACGATCTCTCTAGTCACGGCTACTACACACGACTTCTGACGCAGACAACATAGACTACATATTCGTAATATCTCCGATACATATAGTTATTTGATTGTGCCATTGTAAACTGAAATGAAGCCACATCATCTACACAGCTGGTATATTATTTACGCATTGTTACGTTTTACGAAACCAATGATACTGTTAATCCGTTCTCAAAATGACGAATTGTTTTATAATCATCCTGACGGGTTTAGCAACTTGAGAAAGGATTGTTGTTCATCTACACAAACTGAAATATGAGAAACGATTGTTATCCATCTTTGCATTCCAAAATAAGAGAAATGATTGTTACTCAATTATGTATATTGAAAAAAAAAAAAAAAAAAAAAAAAAGAAATAAACATTGGCTTGTTTTAAATACTGATGAAAATCTAGAGATTGTAGTTGTCTATAGAGGAGCAAACAATGAAAAAAAAATATTTTAGTGAAAAATCATATTAAAGATAACAACAAACCAAACATTTTTAACAAAAAAATGTTTTTTATCCATGCAAAATATGCACAGCTTGTAAAAAAATGAAATTTAATTAAAAAAATACACAAAGCATGTTTATTTCGAATTCTACTAAAAAAAGAATATAAAATCAATTCCATACTTACTTGTCATTCCAACAATTTAGTGAACCTCCTCTGTTATTTTATTGTTTATCTTTTTATGCTTTTATTATGGATATTGTTTGTGTATATATATATATATATATATATATATATATTTAAAATAGTTGTCTGTATGAACGTATATTTGTATCCAATTATGCCCGATTTGCACATTTTGTATACTAAGTTATTTTACAAGATAAATAAGCTCATCCTTTTCCCTTACACAAGATGGTGGCTTGTGAGAAGCCACAACCCAATGCTGGAAAGCAGAAAAATGACACAAAGGAAATTATGTATAAATCCCGCTGACCGGAAGTGACATCAGACGCCGGAACAGTTGAATATCCGTTCAAGTGATCGGAAAACCCAGAAGTGGGGTATTTAAAAGGCATCAAGTGCAACATGATTTTATGCACTAAGGGAAACACAAGAATACTGTGTGGTATTATACTATTAAGGAATTGATTTTGTACAGTTCCCTATAATGTATTTGATTGATTATTGTTCAAATAAATTGTTACTACTTTAACTGGATCATATGTAATATTGGACCATCTATGCCAGACCTTCACTTCTGCCTTTTAGTATATTCTTTTTCACTAGTTCAGGGTTTTGAGGAACCCAATATTGTGACATTATATTGGAAGCACAACTCACTTGCTCTTATTATTAAGGCTTTATAAGCCTTACCCCGCCCTGCGGAGCTCAGTCTGCGCCATGTCCTCCCTGGGTGAAGATGGATTAATTTTTTTAGCATCAGGTTTTTTTTTTTTGGGCTCGGGTTTTTCATTTTATTTTAAGTTCGATGGGTATGATGGTTTTTGGCCTTTTTTGGGGCTGAACAATGAAGATTTTAGAAAAAAGAAGACGTCAAATGGTAAGTATTATTTATCTTTACAGGTTAGTTATTTTACTCCCCCTCACTAGATTTAGGGTGAGGGGGTAGGTAGGTAATAACTTTTTTATTTAGGTGGGGGGGTTGACTAGGTGCTTGGGGACCCCTAGTCACCTTGATTGGGCAAGGGGGGGTTTCATTTAGGGCCAGGGGGAGGACAGTAAGTCCCCCCTTATTGTTATTTAGGCCCCACCCACCGCTCAGGGGTGGAGGCCAGGGGGGAGGACAGTAGGTCCCCCCCTTATTGTTATTTAGGACCCCCACCCGCCTCGCCGGGGTAGGGGCCGGGGGGAGGACAGTAGGTCCCCCCACATTCTTATTCAGGGCCCCCACCCATCGTGCAGTGGTGGGGGCTGAAGGGGAGGACAGTAGGTCCCCCCTTATTGTTATTTAAGGCCCCCACTTGCTGCTCATGGGTGGGGGCCGGGGGGGCGGATAGTAGTTTTTTTTTTTAACAGTGAGCAACTACAGGCTACACATGCCCCTACTCGCGGTATAGTGAGTAGGGGCATTCGGGAGATTTTAATCTCCCTTATGCTATTATGGGGGTCATATTGACCCCCATAGAGTGAGGGAGGACATGGAGGGCTTAGGAAGTGGCGGGGAGCACAGCTGCTTCTATCTTTACATATTACAAGGAGGGAGCTGCGCGCCAGTAGCTCCCTCCTTGTAATAAACTGAACCAACAAATGAACACTGATAAACAGTGTTTGTTTGTTCGTCTGACATTTCTATTCATTCATTCGGCTTTCTGACGAATTAATGAATAGATGAAATTCCCGTTCGCATGTCCAAGTGTTTAACTGGGCATGTGCGGGAATTTCACAGTTTATCTATCTAGTCTGGGCACATGACGTGTCCCACAGGGACTTCATCTACCCACACAAATATGTTGGTGCCATGAATATAGATCAGGGCAGAAAATAAAGTAAAAAAATAGGTAATATGGGGGGC